AATTAATGATGTAAGATAATAAAATATAATTATTGGTTCCTTCAATTAAATTGTCCTTGTTCAGCAAGGATCCTCTGTTTCCAAATAATTCTTTTCTCCTGTCTCAAATCACCCACAACTATTGGATTATATGAAAATTTCAAGATGTGAAAATCTCAAGACATATCCAATGATTGTGAGTGATTTGAGATAGAATGACAGAATTATTTGGGCAACTATTGGATTATATGAAAATTTCAAGATGTGAAAATCTCAAGACATATCCAATGATTGTGAGTGATTTGAGATAGAATGACAGAATTATTTGGGGACAGAGGATCCTTAGACATCCTCATTGGACTATTTCACGTGAAATCATTTAAGACAGTTTAAAAGGATGAGGTAGATCCATCAATTAATAAGAAATGTTGCCTTGTTTATAATAATTTATTTTAAATTGAAAGTTGATAATTTATAAATTAATTTAAAAAGCAATGTTGCTGTTCTGAAAATGAACAGTTTTTAAAGATATTTAATTTATTTTTATCGCATAAACTATATGAAAATTACAACAAATATAAAACTTCAAAATAAAAAGAGTAAGAACAAAGAAAAGGTTATATAAGGAAAAATTGAAGAAAATTGCTTTCCGCTTTTAATACAAATGCAATCCTGATATGTGTTACTTGAGATCAAAGATGAACCAAAAGTTTAGAGTAATGAAAAAGACAAGAGATAACCCATTATAGGGATAAAGTTGATCATCTTTTTCCCTTCAAGAACAATAATTAATGCAAACTGTAGCTAAGCCTAGCCATCTCACTGACAACGCTGTGGTGATGAGTGCTCAGCAGGGTCCATATATTCCATTAAAGTCTAAGAAAATGTGTTTTGGAAATATGTGAGCACAAAAACACCAAAAACATATGATGACAAAACAAAAATCGTGTCAATAAACCAACCATTGGGTTCAATGAAATGAATGGTGCGTTGTCTTTTGTGGATCTCTATACCTGGTAGTTGAGTACTCGAGTTGAATAGTCTTCGAATGGCATAAACATAAGGGTAAATTATATTTTATCTCTTAGAGTTTCATTTATTTTTTATTTTAATCCTTTAATTTTTAATTTTTTAATTTTTTTATTTCGATCTTTTATATTTGTAATCTTTCTTACTTTGACTCTTTATATTTATAATTTTTCTCACTTTAATCCTTTAAATTTAATTTTTTTCACTTTGATTCTTTATATTTACAATCCTTCACACTTTGATCTTTCTTGCTTGCAAATCTTCTTACTTTACTCCTAAATTAATTTCCATGTAAAAAATTAATAGAATCTGTCACTTTACTACCACATCAGCTCTATGTGTGATATAAAAAATTTACTAAAGATGTAAAAAATAAAAAATAAAAAACAAAAAAATTGAATTTTTTTTAGTCTTTAGTAAACTTTTTTTCAAATTTATTCATAAATATTATTACATTATAGATGCATCTAACTGAGATGCATTTAAAAAAATAAAAACAAATTTAACTAAAAAAAAGAAAAAAGTTCGCTAAAGACGGAAAAAAAATAATAGTAAACTTTAATTTCAGAATTGACAATATATGTGTTTGAGTCGGTATATTTTTATTTTTTCGTCTTTAGTACACTTTTTTCTTTTGTTTAGTTAAATTTGTTTTTATTTTTTTAAATGCATCTAATCTAGATGCATCTATAATGTAATAATGTTTATGAACAAATTTGAAAAAATAAATTCATTAAAGACAAAAAAAAAAAAAACAATTTTTTTGTTGTTTATTTTTCATTTTTTGTATATTTATTAGTGAATTTTTTACATCACACTTGGAACTGATGTTTTAGTGATATGACAGATTCTGTTAGTTTTTTTAATGAAAGTTAGTTTAGGAGTAAAGTGAGAATGATTGCAAACATGAAAGGTCAAGTGGCAAGGATTACGAATATGAAGGATCAAAGTAAAAAAAATCAAACTTAAAGAGCCAAAATAAAAATGTGCGAAACTTTAGAGGGGCAAAGTGTAATTTACCCTAAATATAATAGTATAGTCAATAGTTATGTTTATGCAGCCAGAATAAAAAGAAAAAAAAGGCAATTTTGATTATACTTTTACATTACAAAGCAAAATGCAATTGGAAGCATCAGCCCTCTTCACCTGGGTTATCTTCCATGTACTGTGTACAGCTCCTACTTCAACCAAGTTTAGATATCCATCTTTTGATACCATCTAATATATCACTGATAGTTGGTTACCCGGTTTGAACTAATTACCTACATATTTATAAAATATGATATTTTTAATCAATTGGCAATTTTATTTTTATTTTTCAAATACTAATGCATTAGTTTAATGGGCCCGCTTTCCATATCCAATATCAGTGCATGATATACAAATTTGGTGGCGGCATCATGTTTTGTATCTTCGTGGACAACCCTTAAAGGCCCAAACAACCTTTTAAAAAGCATAACACAGAGCAAATTGTCCCACTCCTCAGGCTCGCCCCAGGAAAAATGGGCCGTGTTGAGGGATTTCTATGGCTTGCAAATTTTACTAATTTTTGTGAATAGTCTCCGCTTGAGGAAAAAAAACAAGAAAAAAAAATCCTATTAAGAGTTTCATTTTTTTAAAAAAAAAAACATTTTATATAAAAAAATTAAATCTTATAATTTTTATTTAATTATAAGTCTATTTTGAGAAGTGACTTTTTATTTTTTTATTAATTTTTTTATAAAAAATATGTAAAAAAGTAAAGAAGTTATATGATCTAAATAAATCAATAAATTAATTAATTTTTTTAGTTGTCAAAATAGACCAATAAAAAAAGAAAAATATTAGGAACTCTAAATGTTTTATCAAATATTCTATCAAATATCTCATCTAAGTGTGATATCCACACACCATGTGGGTCCCATACATATGTAAAATATTTAGTAAAGCATTTGTAAAATTTTATTTCCACACACTAAATTATCTTTATATACCTCTTTTCTTAATACACATATTTAGTAATTTGATTTTTACTTCTTTATCTTAGTCCGCACACTTCACATTCCAAATATACCCTCACATTCTCTGTGCATATCCTCTCATTCCATCATTTCTCACTCCCAAAACCTTAATCCTAACTATACTAGCTACCGACGACGGCGGTAGCGACGACATCAACCACCGCTCCTTCCCAGTCTCTCAACCATTCTCACACAGCCTCTCACGTTGCCGTCACCTCCATCGCAATCATTGCCGGTCGTCGTTACCTCCATCGCAATCATCACCAGTCGCTATCACCTCTGTGATCCACCTCCTCATCCTTTCCCCAGTCTTCTCCACCCCGTCTTCAGTCCTCTCCACCCCTTCCATCGCGACGCAACTCCCTCATTCACCATGATTGATCGATCGATTGATTAACAAAGAAAGAAAATGAAAAAGAAAGAGATTCGATGGTTGATGCTTGATGCTTGAACAAACCCTATAGATTCAATAGTTGATATCTGTACATACTCAATTGGTTCGACGATTGATATTCGAATGGCGGCGATCTGTTCGGTACTGGTTGTCCAAATGGTTGCGATTTCTCTAGCAATCTACAGAGAAAGAAAAAAGACGAAATGGAAAGGCTAGGGACTAAAAGAAGTGGGGAAAGTGAAAGGAAATGCTGTGTATGGTTGAGGTTTGGACATGGGAGGCGATGGCTCGCGGTGAAGTGGTTGGTGAGATGTGTATGGAGAAATTGTGAGATGTGTGGGTGGGATAGTAATTTTGTTAAAAAGATAAAATTGTGATTCTAAAAAAATTCATTAATGCTGTGTTTGATTGGAGGGATACAGGGAGAACTATTTACTGTGCGGATTGTAATTCATTATAAGCATCTAATCCGACGTTTGTTTTATTTTAGTCTGCCGAACTTCATATCCCTCGTATGAGGGACTATTGTTTCCTAGGGAGGGGGGTGACATTATTTCCATGAGACTATTTCTTGTTGAAATTAGGTGGTGAAATGGCCATTTTGACCTTCTATTTAATTATGCATTATATTTAGTAAAATTCAATAAATTTTAAATGTCTCAATTTAAAAATAAAATAATTTTAGTTAACTTTTTATTGATGTTTTATTTATTTAATTTTTTTAAAATAGTTTTTTATAGATATTTTTATTGATGTTTTATTTTAAAGTTTTGTTTATATTTTATTTAATTTCATTATTTAAATTTTAATAGATGTTTTATTTAATTTCATTATTTCATTATTATTATTTTTAAAATTTTAATTAAAAAATAACATATATTTTTATTGATATTTTAATTATTTAATTGTGTAAAAAATAAAATAAATAATTTTTTTATTTAATCTAACTAAAAATAATTAAAATATTAAAGATATTACTTAGTAAACAATTGAAAAAAAAAAAACGTAAAATAGTCTTTTGTTCATTTATCTTATCCAGTCCGTCCAACCAAACATTAGATTAACTAAAAATAGTCATTTATAGATATCTAATTTCATGAAAAAATAAATACGGGATACAAATCTAATCTAAGCGCATCTCCAAAGGTAGTAGGCATTTTACCTATCTAAATATTACTATAAAGTATATATTTTATTTTGCCTATCAATTATTTTATATTTTTACTCAAACCATACTCTTTATTTTAGCTATTTATTCAAATACTATTAATTTTATAGAATGTCACGTCAACAACATAGATAGAGGGAAATGATCATAATGATTGAATACATTTTGCCTAGCGTTGAAGGCTAGTTACATGTCGCTAGTGAATATGAGTTGAGCCAAAATGCCTAATCATATGCCTAGTGCATTGGAATTAAAAAAAGTGAATCTAAACATTTTAACTAATCAAAATTTAAATTCAATAAATTTTAATCATTTTTTATTTAATCGGTCCAATCAAAAGTGTGTAGAATAAGAAAACTTTAATACGTAGAAACAGAATTTACCAAAACATTTGAGTCAAACTTTCATTCAAAATACATTTTACATTACAGCATGACATTTCCCAATAACAAGTCCTGCCAGAAAATCGCTTGCTCCAGCCTTAGGTTTGTTTGGCTACGAAGACAACGCGTTGGGTAAAAGAAAGAAAAAGGTTTGTATTTTTGGGCAAAAAACTCAACAAGAAGAGAATCCCAAACACGGTGCTATTTAGAAAAGATGCCGAAGGCGAAGATCGCACCGTCGATGCTGTCATCGGACTTCTCTAACTTGGCCTCTGAGGCCTCTCGCATGCTTCAATGCGGCGCCGATTGGCTCCACATGGACATCATGGTACCTCTCTCTCTCTCTCTCTCTCTTCACACACACACACACACACACGCACATACACTCTTTGATCTATTAGTTCTTTAATGTTGTTTTGATGTGAATCTTGGAATCAATAACCTAGCTAATTTGTACATACCCATAGAGATTCTAGTAAGGAACATGTTGGGGAGTCTAAATAATGAATAAATCCATGAATTTGTAAAACAATAAGCTTGTCTTAATTTAAGCTCTAATTTTAATGGAAATTTAACCCTAACCTCTAACAAATCTAAACCATAAATCCATATGATATTCAACAGAATTCTGACCCTAATGTCATACTCTTATTATAAACAGATTTTAGTAAATTAACAAAACTCAATAATTAAACACAATTTGTAGTCAATAATTAAACCCAAATCAACAATTCATAAAAATAAAGTTTGTTATTTTAATTCAATTTGTGTAATTTTTATATTGGAATAGAGGATGAAAAGTGTGTTGTTTAATTGACGAGTAATAGGTGGATAAGCGAGATTTAGTGAGGGCATACAATGTAATTGAAATTTAATGTCAAGTAAGTACAAAAATTGGTTGTTACAAAACACTGAAATTTATGGAGTTCAGTGGGGACATCTGCCCCCCCAGCATGGTTATGATCCCTGCTGAATTCTTTGTTAATTTGCTGCTAGGGATGTTAAGTTGTGGCCCTTGTGGGTATTTATCCTAATGATCTACCTGAATCAAGCATTTTATTTCTGCCTTAGCTGCTAATGACCCGTGGTGATTGGATTAGCTAGGTTTCTTGGTCCCCATGTTCATATCCATGTTTCCTTAGTTTAGCTTGATATGATTTTGTAGTTGGCTTATTTCTTTTGCTAGGTCCGATTTTTGCTTTTGTGCAAACTAATTTTCTCAAGAATCTTACTGGGTTCTTGTTTTGCTTCATCTGCAGGATGGGTAGGTTGGACTTTAAGCTCAAACCATATTATGTTTGCCCCCATCATTACTGATAATCAGATTTATAACAGGAGGGTTGCCTCAACTTATGTGCTTTCTTTTTCAGACACTTCGTCCCAAATCTTACGATTGGTGCTCCTGTCATTCAAAGTCTTAGAAAGCACACAACGTAACATCTTATTGCCACTCTGCCTCCATATTTTAAACCTCAACTTCATGTGTATTGGAACTTCTTCAGCTTAAAGAGGGAGTATTGTTTTTCTTTTTTGCAGGGCATATTTGGATTGTCACCTTATGGTCACAAATCCTCTTGACTATGTGGAACCATTCGGAAAAGCTGGTGCTTCAGGTTTTACATTTCATGTCGAGGCATCCAAAGGTGAGCAGCAATGTTGTCTGGATTGTTATTTTTTCTTTGGGTTTTATCATTTTTAAATATGTCTTATTTTACTTTTTTTTTTTAAGTTTTATTTATAGTTTTTTAATGATGGAAGAATCACATGGTATACCTTTTACAGATAATTGGCAAGAACTTATCCAGCAGATTAGATCAAAGGGCATGAAGCCTGGTGTGGCTTTAAAGCCAGGAACGCCTGTTGAAGATGTTTATCCACTGGTAAGAAGTTACTCTCTTTCTTGATCTTTCAAGTTCTTAGGTCTTCCTGCTTACTTGCCATATTCCCTCTAATGTTGTGTTTGGTTAGGAGATTTGGAGAGGGATTTGGAAAGGGAAATGGAAAAAGTAGGTGAAATATGAATAAATCATGCCTATATTTCACATAGTTTCACACACCTTTTCCCTTTCCCTTTCCAAATCCCTCCCCAAATCCCCCAACCAAACACACCATAAAGGAAACCATGATGCTAACCAAAGTTATTAAAACAAAGATTGTTTGGCACCTGGATTATTTTAGTTCTGAAATGCTTCTCACAAGGATCCTTGCATTTAGTAATTCTTTCCTTTCTCCTACTCTACAGCTTGATGGTGAAAATCCTGTGGAAATGGTTCTTGTTATGACTGTGGAACCTGGATTTGGTGGGCAGAAGTTCATGCCCGAAATGATGGACAAGGTGCACAAACTTTTCTTCTTTCTATTCATGTTTTTATTTATTTAACTACTTATTAAAATTCCTTATCATTCTTATAGCCCATTTATTTGGATTCAGGTACGTGCACTGAGAAAGAAGTATCCATCACTTGATATAGAGGTAAGTCTATTTATGAATATGATACTTTAATTTCATTTGATTTGAATCCAATGTTTTTATTCCCTGGGCATATTGTTGTTTCTCTTGAAACTGCCAAAGTTAACGGGCAAAAGTTATTCAGGGCTTCTTACCGTAAAAGTTATTGGCATACATCTTGTGAAGTTATTCTTAGGAAGTATGCTTGAAACTGCTTAGAGATGTTTTGAAAGCACTAAACATATTTTTTTTTATCGGAATTCTTTGTGCATTCAGCCCAAGTAGTTATGAACTTATTTATACAGAGAAGAATATGTTACATGTAATGTGTACTTTTTAGGCTATGTTCATTTGCAGGATCGGATTAGTGGGGATGAGTAACACGTTCTGATAATGGATTGGGTTATATACTATGGGATTAACTATAGAAGTATCTAGGATAGTGGACTAGATTATATATACTATAGGACCAATTTTTGATTATTAAATAAAAATAAAAATCATTTGGATCTTGTTTGATTTTGTTATGAAGGTGGATGGTGGTTTGGGGCCTTCGACCATTGATGCAGCAGCGTCGGCAGGGGCAAACTGCATTGTTGCAGGAAGTTCAGTGTTTGGAGCTTCTGAGCCAGCTCAAGTTATATCACTTATGAGAGAGAGTGTGGATGAAGTGAAGTGAATCAAGCGAAATTGAAACAGGAAAGATACTTACATTGGTGATTGAGGACTCATTGTTCATTCAGAGCTTGTGCTAATAAGGTCCTTGATGTATTATGATTATGAAAACGAAATGTAATGAAGTGATAAAATGTAGTCCCAGGATTGGGTTGTGGTAAAATGTTTGATAATTGGACACAGCTTTCTTTCAATTGTGTAATCCCAGGATTTGCAATTTGACAACTTGAAGTTGCGTCAATAGTCTTTCTTATATTTGTGGTGTGAGGGTTCAAATCTTATGGAGATCATTAGTGTTGTATTATGTGATTGTTGGACTTGGTAGGTCTTTTGTGGTGATTGTTAGGTTGGATTAAATGGTTTCATTAGGTTGGTTGTTGGACTTATAGATATACAATTGTGTAGTTTAATGTAATTATTATCATATAAATCTTCTCTCAATTGGTGAAAAAAAAAAAGAAGCTCTCCTTAGCCCTGCCTGCCACTCCTCTGCCCCTTCCCAGCTCCTCTCTGGCAAATTTGAACCCTCTTCTTCCGTCACAATCCTTCTCTTTCTGTTGTTATTTCTCTTTGTTGCGTGACTCTCTTTCTTACAGATGGTGGCTGATAAGGTGGGGATGGTTGGGAAATGGCAGGGAGGAGTGGGAGGGGTTGGCAATAGCGAGGGAGGGCGGAGATGGGTGGTGCTTGGGATGGGAAGGTATTAAAGGGTAAGGTTTAAGATTGGTAGGAATAAAAATATGAATGAAGTCTTATGATAGAGTAAAATTATAATAAAAAAATTTATGAAAAGATAGAAAGTTCAAAGAAAAAATGTATAGACTATTAACAGCACCTTTTGGTTGCCCTAAAGTTGCTTGTTAGAAACTAAAACATTCTCTGTATGCAACTTGTAAGCCATTAGAGATTTCCTTGGGAAATTTCCATAAATGACCCTTTTGGTGCTAGGTTCAAGAGAATTCATTATTCAATACAATCTTGTCACACCGCACCCACCACCATATACTATTTGGCTGTTGGCTTTTCTTCACTTTTCAATACCAGAACTTTTTAAAGATATATTTATTTTAGACTTTCTAATGTGCAAGTGTAATCCGTGACGCATAGATGCTTTTATATGTTTCAAATCCAACAGACACGTACCTACTCAAAAATCCAACAGACACGTGGGAGAGGTACTGTGGACTCCACTTCATCAAAAGTAGGCCTTTTTCTCTTCTTTTTTCTCTTCCTCAATCCTCCCCCCTTGAAATTTGGCAGTTAAAGTGATATGCACGTGCTAGCACGTGCAGTCTTCACACTCTACACCGTTGGATGTATATATGTGAGAGCTACACCCACCTTTCAATTGTTTAAATTTCAAGACAAGTTACATTTTGTCCTAATTGTATACTATTGTTTTGAAAATTGGTGGAGAGACTAAAATAAAATGATTAAAGTAAGATTTTGATTAAAAATATGCAGAGATGTTATTTTTTCATTAGTTTTTGAAATGACATTATACAAATAGATTCAATTACAATTTGACTCAAAGAATTAACCGATACAATTAAAAAGTCAAAAACAAAATAAAATAATCAGGTAATTTTTGCGGTCCGGCATTCAAGCCTCCTCCCTCTTTGGGACTCGGATAATTAATACTGTCATCGCATTGATCACACAAAAGGCCATCCAATTTATATCATCACTCAAACCCAAATTCAATGAATTATGCTAGGTTTTATTTTTTCATTTATAGAAAAGGATGCTATATATTATTTATAGAAAAGGCTTATTAATTTGAAAATTTCTTTAATCGTAATTAAAACCATCAAAATGGGTCGTTAGAATAAGAAATATCAAATTGGAATATAACTAGTCATCATACTGTAACTGACTCAAACAAGTTACAAAATTATTCATCGATTATTGTACATATTATGTACATATTACTATAGGATCGTACATTTGTATCCTTGAGTTCTAAGGAGATAGGACACAAAGTCTGGTTGATGAATCATGACTACATGATCAGAGCGTGATTAACAGCTCCTGTAGGCTCGACCTTTCAGAGTAGTAAAGGATCGTTCTTGGCTAGTTTCAACAGGCAGGGATGGTCATGTTGTCGCCTAATAGACTTTCAAATTCTTCCAACAGAAGATAAGTTGAGAGAGAATAGATTGAGATGATTTGGTCATATATAATGGAGATCAACATAGGCAGTAATGAAAAGATGTGATATAGTGACGATAGATGGTAGTGTTAGGGGAAGGGATAGAGCTCGATTGACATGGACTAGTGTAGTAAATAGAAATATGAATCTCCTTAATTTGACTAACGAAATGACCTTGGATAGAGTCGAGTAGAGAAGAAGGATTCATACAGCCGATCTCATTTGATAGGATTTAAGGCTTGGTTTGGTTTATTAGTTTGGTACAATTATAAGTTTTGATTACTGAACTCACCTAGTAATTACTATCAAGGGTGTTATGTTAGTGGTGCTTGTCACCTAGGATAAGATATTCATGGCCAATTTGACCTAAAACACCGTCCTATGGCCTCCTTTTGATGCTCTCTTACCTTTACTATACATGGAGGTCTCTTCAATCTAATTTATCTTCCTTTTTTTTTTTTCTCTTCAAAACCCTTCAATTATTTATCCAAATTCTACATCATTTCTATCTACAATTCAAAGCTACATCATTTTTCTACATGCTCTTACAAGAAAAAAAAAAATACTTTACAAGTTGTAAACCTGTCCATCATTTGATAACTTGTTCACTACTATTTTGTGCATGAACATTGAACTGTTTGTGCATCATGTGTATGATTCTTGCAAATATATGTCAATGTCTAGAGCTTTTATGCCTGGCGTGCTTATCATGTTGTGTTGTTAATGAGAGCTTCATGAATAGATTTTCCATTCATTTTCTTTTTTTCACATTCCCACTCAATGTTGCCCACCTCCCTCATAGGCCCCAAGAGCTCGTATTTTTCTTAATACATATATGAAAAATGATTTACCAACATTTTTTTTATTTTTCATTTTTTACAGAAAACTAATCCAAAATGAAAATCTTGTGAACATAGAAAATGTGTCACTGAAGAGACATAGAACACTTGATGGGCCTCACCTCTTTAGCATTTCTGAATCCAAAATGCATCACAAGTGGTGTCAAGGATCCTTTATTCCCAAATCTTTGTTCTCTATATGAGAATCTTGAGACATAGGAATTTCGAGACATTATCTAATGGTTATAAATGCATTGAAATAAAGAAGAGAATAGTTCAGGAATAAAGAATCATGTGGTCCTCCCTACTCTGAATCATGAATGTTTTAACTTGTGCTCACATGAATGTTGTGTGTTCACAAATATGATCATTATGCATTTCCCATATAGATTGAACTATGTATGTGAAATTATAAATGTACATGCATGATCTTCTTGCATTTATGAGGGTATATATGTGAAATTGTGAATACATCATATCAGGTGGAATCTATCTAGGTATAGGAACAAATCAAAAAGTGCATATGTCTAATCCAAATAGATTTTTTCTTTCTTTCTATCATTGTATATAAATGTATTTAAAAACACTAGTTCTCTGAAGTGTATAGTTTAATTAAAAGAGAGGCCATGATTACCATTTACAGGTTGAATGAGATATATATCTTGGGATAGATAGCCTCCCCTTAGCCAGTTGGGATCAAAGCCCAAGGAAAAGATGTTACCCAAACAACTGAAATCAGAGTTAGAAAAAACAAATAAAAATACAACACTTTGTCACCCCCAACAATCCTGTCTTTGAATGCTATCTTTTACACACTATTTTGTATTGATCCGAAATATTCACTCTGTCAAACTGATCAAAACTCTTCTATTTTATTAGTCTGTCCCATGTGGAAGTCGGTGGTGGTCCTCTTAGTCCTAGACATGGCAACTATGCTCACTAAGTGCCAATTGAGAGCTTTGATTTTCTTTTTCTGGGCAACTGTCTCTGCTGCAATTGGAAATGATTTGCTAAGCTGTGATACTCTCTCTCCAGATTACCATTGCAATGGTAATGGATCTCCAAATCAGTGCTCAACTTTCGCTATTCTTCGCACCAATTCATACTATTCCTCTCTTTCCAATCTCAGCTCATATTTGGGGATCAACCGGTTCGTGCTAGCTCAAGCCAATGGATTCTCTGCCGACGCAGAGTTTCTTCCCCAAAACCAGCCTTTGTTGATCCCAATTGACTGTAAATGTAACGGTGCTTTCTTTCAAGCTGTGCTAGTTAAAATTTCCATCAGAGGCGAGAGCTTTTATAGCATTGCTGAGTCGTTGGAGGGCTTAACGACTTGCAAAGCTATTCGAGTGCAGAACCCAAGTGTTTCACCTTGGGATCTTGGTGACAAGGTTCAGCTGCTGATTCCAATCAAATGCGCCTGCCCGTCTTCCTCTGAGCTCGGTCAGCAAACCAAGCTTCTGATTTCTTATCCTGTGAGTCGAGGTGACACCATTTCAAACTTGGCCTTGAAGTTCAATGTCACTCCAGTGAACATCCTCTCTGCAAATAACAGATCCGGAACAAGTTTCAAACCAGAAAGGCTAGTACCAGTTTCTACTCTTCTGATTCCACTCAAAACCAAGCCTGTTTTTGGTTTTTTTGTGAAACCTCAGGAACCCAATTTAGGATTTCCATCAACCACCATCCCTAGAATCAATCCACACAAGAGGAAGTCGAAAATGTGGCAGATTGGACTTTATATTGCTCTTGGCGCATCTTTATTTGGAGCTGGCATCGTAATTGCAGCAGCCTTCTTGGTGATTCAATGGAAAGCAAGGACGAAAGCGAAGAAGAATATGGAGATTCCATGCAAGATGGTAGATTTGGAGCTTCAACAACTCAGCCTAAGCATACGAACCACGAGCGAGAAGAAAGTCTCATTTGATCAGGGCTCCCAAGACACTCTTGATGGTCAGATCATCGACGCCACACCTCACAAGATGGTGTTGGAGACATATACCATTGAAGAGCTAAAGAAGGCAACTGAGGACTTCAATTCGAATAATCTCATTGAAGAATCTGTGTTTCATGGCCGTCTCAAAGGCAAAAACTTGGCAATTAAGCGTGAAAAAACTGAGATTGTGTCAAAGATTGAGTTCGGGCTTTTCCAGGATGCAACTCACCACCATCCCAACATAATAAGGCTGATTGGGACGTGTTCAACAGACGGTCCTGATTCATTTTTGGCTTTTGAGTATGCCAAGAATGGGTCCCTGAAGGACTGGCTTCATGGTGGGTTGGCGATGAAGAGCCAATTCATCGCTTCATGCTATTGTTTCTTGAATTGGAATCAAAGGCTCAAGATCTGTCTTGACATAGCCACGGCCTTGCAGTATATGCATCAGATTATGATTCCAAGCTATGTTCACAGAAACATAAAAAGCAAAAACGTTTTTCTAGATGAAGAATTCAATGCAAAAATTGGGAATTTTGGCATGGCAAGATGCGTTGAAGACGGTGTTGATGACAAGGCTTCTTGTTCAAGTGATCCTAGGTTTTGGAGTAAAGGGTACTTAGCACCTGAGTGTATCCAGCAGGGTACAACATCCCTGAGCAGCGATGTTTTCGCTTATGGTGTGGTTTTGCTTGAGGTGTTATCTGGGAAAACACCGATAATTAGGGACGATGAGAAAGGGAAAGGGAGTGTTTGGCTATCCGAGAAAATTAAATTGATATTAGAGTCAGAGAATGCAGAGGAGCTGAGGGAATGGATGGACAACACGTTGGGTGAGAATTATTCGTTTGATGCAGCTGTCACGTTGGCAAATCTGGCGAGAGCTTGTGTGGAGGATGACCCGGGGTTGAGGCCGAGTGCGGGAGAGATTGTGGAGAAGTTGTCAAGATTGGTCGAAGAATTACCACAAGGAGAGCAATTCTCAATCTGTGAAAGCTCTTCAAAACCTCTAGTCAAGGCTGCTATAAATTAGGCATGTGAATTAAACCAACCCCATTGTAACCATTTCAAACGCGTTCCATTAGTTCTAGTTCTCGTGCCATTGAGGAAGCTTGACTGTGATCAGATCTAAGATTTGTGGCTACTTTTCCTTTCTTTCTTTCTATATATTCAATATTCAAACACATAGGATTGTGGACTTTTGGGATCTTTCACATGCCATGTAGGGTTGTGTATACATGTAATTAGGAACTGGATACACATAGCAGAGTTCTCCTTTGTATTTCTGTATTTGATCGACTAATGAATCTTATGGTATTTATACAATTTTATTTATTGTGATGCATCTATACTATTATTAGTAGGAAACCTTTCATTTGGCATCTAAGTTGATCGAAGAAATTGTTTTCTCCATATTTTGTACTTTTCTTTATTTTCATTATAAGGACAAGACATTGGCTGTTTTTGTGCATTACTGGAAACTTTGCTTATAATATGTATATATATAGGAAAATATTTGGTGGCCACAAATTCTGTGGCTCAAATGGCCAAAAAATGCCAAAACGAAGTCGTTTTGGCATTTTCAGAATTGTTTTGTACCCAAAACGAAAACGACGTCGTTTTAACATTTTCGGACCATTTGAGCCACAGAATTTGTGGCCACCAATCATTGCCCATATATATATATATATATATGTATCAGTCAAAGCTCAATTGTCTAAGTTTGAGCTCCTATAGAGAGAGACACAGAAAGGTTACAAAAAATAAAACAAACTTTGTGATGATTTTAAGGAGTTAAAATTGCATAGCCATAAAGATGTCGGTGCGATTCGTGACACGTTGCAGGTTCATTGGATTAAAAAGGTTAGAAACAAACAAAGACATATTTCTTTCTTTAGATCGAACAGTGAACAATCTCCATCTTTGCTAATTCAAGGACTGTAGGTTGCCACCATACAAACTGTATGGTGATCGAAGTCTGTTTGAAATGATAATAATAATAATAATAATAATAATAAAACCCTAACGATGGCCAAAGTAGAGCCATTCTTGCAAGTTTTGCCCATAGTATAAAAATGTGATTTTGGGTTCCAATAATTTTAATATTTGAAGGGTATTAAAATAAGAAAGTGAAATTTGATTACTTATTGTAATAAGAATCATATTTTCAAATTAATTAAGAATCTAATTTCTCATATATATATATATATATTAAATGTTAGCTATTTAAAAATACAATTAATTATTTGACTCAAAATCATGACAAGATTCCTCACTCTCCAAACAGTGGCGGAGCTAAAAAAATAAATCAGAGGGGTACTTCTTAATTACAATATTAAAAATATTTACAAAAATATTTCACATAAATTTTTACGATTGACTTCAAGAAATAATAAAAAAAAAATTAGTGTGTTTGGTTTGAGTTTTTTTAATTAAGTTTTTTATTTTTTATTTTATTTTTTTGTTTTTAGTGAATATTTTAAAAATTTTAAGCATTTTTTTAATACTTTTTTAGATGCATGATGTATCTAAAAAAAAAATATTTGTGAAAAAATATTTTAAAAAATTAATAAATACATAAAAATATGAAAAATGTACTTATTTTTTGAATTTTTTTTTATATTTTTGGCATTTAGTGAATTTTTAAAGATTTTTTTCGCAAAAATTATACTTTTTAAGTATATTTATGTTAGGTATGCCTAAAAATTTAAAAAATTACTTAAAATATTTTAAAAATTCAATAAATACAAAAAAATACGAAAAACGAAAATAAATGTACAAAATAGTCATGGATATGAAGTTTTAAAATAAATTATATAATGATTAAGTAATTTTTTGTACAAAATATGCGTAAAAATTCAATATAATAGTTATACCACGCAATCATTGACATGTGATATTACCAATCAATAATAAAGAAACACATGGAGGATGAACCTGCATATTAAATGTAACTAACAATTCAATAAATTCTATATTTTCATTGAGATTAATTATATTTGCATATCAATAATGATAAAGATCACCATTATATTAAAATTTTCATAGATTTGTAGTCTCTTTATTTTTCAATCAAAATAATCATTATTGTTCTTATAATTTTAAAAATATCATTGATATTTCAATCTAAATAATATTTTTATATAAAATATTTTCTTTATGTTTGTATAAAAAAAAAAATTCCAAAACTCAGGGGGGCACGTGACCCCCCGGGCCTTCCTTCCCTTCGGCCTGTCTCCAAATGTATATGAGAAAGAGAGTTCTTTTTGGGTCCGTTTGGCAAGTTGGTTTGTGACTATTTTAGTCACAAAACGCAAAATAGGCTATTTTAACCACAACAAACAAAACATCACATTCAACTCATAATTATTACACTTTTCTCTCACAAAAAAGTCAAAAAATCAAAAAGCTCTTTCCAAACTAAGCTTTTTAGCCCAGACTAAAATAGTCAAAAAAATTAAAAAGTAAAAAAACTAACCTACTTCCCAAACGGAGGCTTTATTATTTTTTATTTTCTTCATATTCTCCTCTATTTAAATTTTATTTTTATTTCACTAAATTTTTTAATAAAAACAAACGTTTAAATAATACTAACATAATTTTTTTAATAATAATAATAACAACAACAATTTTTAATAATAATAATAACAACAACAATGAGAATACATTAGTAAGACTTTTATTCCACTTCAAATTTCTTGTTATAGTGTAATATCAGCCACCCCTATCTATGTGGGCACCCTCTAACCCTGTTTAATTTAATAGCGAAAGTGACAATGATGCAATCTGCTACATTGAATTGTACAAATGATATGACAGCATCTGATGATGTATACAATTACATATATGTTAAATATAAATATTAGTGCTATTATTATTTAAACAAGCATGCTACACGTAGTCAATACCCCCTGTTTTAGATTAAAGTTTCTAATTAATAAAATATATATACACAACAGAACACGTCACACTGGATATATACAAGGCACAGAGCGAGACTATCAATACCAAGAAACTGCTAGAATGTTCCTAATGTAAATTTTTTCTTTCTAAATTATCTTTTAACTGTCAAATTCAAATATATCTATAATTTTTCGTAACTGTTGGTCTATAACTACATATCTATATGATGTATATTCACATTTTTTAGTATTATATATATATATATAATCTACAGTGAATTTGGTATGAATATTTTTCTATTACAACTTTTTTATTTCTAAATTATGCAATTGCAACTGCAGAATTCAATCACATCCATGAGTTATGTAATTGCCAATTTCAAGTGATTCTATCTAATTCAATAAAAATTAATTCTATCCATATACAATCATTCCAAACATTTCATAAATATAATTAAAAATTTTGGAAGGAATAAAAGATTTATCAATATTGGAATGAGATTGATATTGAAGAAATTAATGAGAAGAAATATAAGTACCTTAGGGAACACTTTGCGCTTATCAAAATTAACAAAAACATGTAACTGTTATTTTCATTTATTTTGAGCCTTAACCCGTGAATCAAATCGTAATCAACTGTTCTTAAATTCTAAAAACCAAATCCAATCACCTTCAAAAAATCGAACCAAACCATGGACTAATTCAAATTGGTTTAAGTTTTGATTGATTTTTTTGAACCCTCCTAACTTACGTTAGGTGACATGATCATCTCTTCTCCCAAAATTTTTTCTCTTAAATATTTAAAACTATTGAATTCTGTTGCAAGATTTTCATATTTTGAGTTTTTTTATATAATTCAAAAAAATTATCTTTCATATTATATTGATATATATATATATATATATAAAAAATTTTAGAACATGAAATAAAAAAAATTAAAAACAGAAGATACCTAACTATAATTGAGAGAACAAAAATACACTAATATATGATGCAAAAGAACACGTATTTTGAAACAAATAGCCACAACTATGACTTATTACAGCGGCCAAAAAGCCAAGAATCAACACTAAAGTACAGTAACCTCAAAGAATGGAAGAATCAAATAATGACAATGTACAGAAAAGGGCAATGCGATCTATGACATCATAGTCCTGAATTCATCAAAACTAAGGACTCCATCACCATCAATATCAAACTGAGATATCATGAGCTTACAGTCTTCAATGCTCTTAGACTCTCCTAACCTACGAAGCATATTCTTCAAGCTCTGTGGAGTTATACATCCCTTCCCATCCATTTCATACATCCTGAAAGCTTCTTTCAAATCTTTCACCTTCTCTTCCTCCTCCGCTCCTTCCACTAACTTTTTAAAATCCTCCATTCCCAGCAGCCCGTCTCCGTCGGAGTCCATCAAAACCACCACCGCCTCCGCCTCTTCCTCCGAAATCTCCCCGCCAATTGCTCCCACGCAATGCTTCAGCTCCGACGCTGATATCTTTCCATCCCCATTGCTGTCGAAATGATCGAACACACGCTCGTATTGCCGACTCGTCTCCATCACACAATAACTAGTAATCGAAAAAAAAGAAAGCAAGTGTTTGTTTTTTTGTTTTTGCTTTTGTTGTCGTTGTTGTTCTTGATGGTATGAAAGTCTTTTTGAAGTCTACATATAGGAGGGCTCCGCGTTAACTCAGTGGGTTGACCAAAGCGAAACGTGGGTGTGGGGAAAGAGAAAACTGGGGGTAGTTTCGTAATTAAGTGTCCAACACGTAAGTGGTGTCGTCAATTACGAGGATAATTAACGTGACGCGGATGGGTGAATCATCCGAGAAGCGGGGGCGATCGACACCGTTCATTGTTTGGTGAGATGTATAATGACGGTGGAAGAGCTAGTAGCAAAATTCAATCAAAAATGCTTAGGCACTTTAAAAAATTTATTAAAAATTTTACAAAATACCTTATATATGAAATTCACATGATATTCACATTTATATAAAATTTTGAAAAAATTATTTATAAGTCCTATTAGGAAGACTTAGGCCAAATTTGACATGTGCTCAAGAAGTTAAAAAGTTATTCAAAAAGTTAAAAATTTATCACTATTCACTAAAAGTAAAAAAAGTACGGCTGCACAACTTTTAACTCTAATTTTCTCTTACACACTAATTTATACAATTTTTTAAAACACATTTTTTCATAAAAAGTTAAAAAGTTAACCTAAACAATATCATAAATAATGGTAAAGCTATATATAAGAAATTGAATGTTACCATAGATTAAGTTTGCGAAACGTAACGTGACATTTACATAAACGTAACGTAACGTGATACTTACATAAACGTAACGTAACGTGATACCTACATAAACGTAACGTAACGTCTCACGTTACGTTTTGCAAACTAACTAGGTTTTTGATTTTTTAAATTGAATGTGAAAATGTTACTTGTTCGTGTATTTTAGGAAATTGAATATTGCCATAGATTAAATTTGTGAAACATAACGTGACACCTACATAAACGTAACGTAACATGATCATATCAGATGAGACATTACATAAACGTAACGTGACGTAACACCTACATAAACATAATGTAACGTGTCACATTACGTTTTCCAAATTTATTAGGCTTTTGATTTTAGTGTATAATAGTATATTAATACCATTTATTTATAACTCATAGGATCTTGTGGAATATATTCCTATTTAAATAGGACTTGAGCCTCTATAAAAAATTATACAAAATTTAACATAATATAAATATCTGAAATAAGATTTATAAATAAGTCTCTCTAAATTTTTTGAGTTTCTAATATTAATCAAATTTAATTGTTGTGAATTTTCTAGTTTCTAGAAGAAGAAAGCCCTGGAATAATCAAACCGTCATAACTGCCATAACCACTATAACTTAGAAGTTACTAGTAGTACTGAACTAGTACATTGCATCGGTCAAAGTTTCTTTTCAGATTGGATCCGGATGATTCTTGTAATTTTGGGAGCTTAAGTGACGAACCCGTGATATCATCATGATGATTATATATATGCCAATATCGGAGCAATTTTTAAGTGCTCAAGTACCTATCATATATATTTATTTAAGTTGTCACAAATATATACTATTATTTTATAAGATTAGGTAAGTTTTTATAAATATACATAAGGATGAACTACACTAACAGTTTTTATAATTTATGATTTGTATCATTTTAGTTTTTAATTTTTTAATTGTGATACATTTGATCATGAATTTTGAATCTTATTTTAAATAAGAAAAATTAAAAATACTATTGCTTAATTTCAAAGACAAAGTCATCAATTTGATAAAATATAAATTAATTTGACAAAAATAAATGTCAAAAAAATGTTTTTAAATTTTTTAAAATTATTTCTGTCCACAAAAGATAAAATTATGTAAAATTAATAAATCTTTTAGACATTTTTTTATCAAATTAATTTTTATTTATGTGTTTGGATGATGATTATATAGTGGATGGTTTTAATAATAATATCAAAGTAGTCGTCATATTTGATTTATATAAAAATATAAATTAATTTAATGAGAATAAAAACCGCCACCCATTACATGATTATCATCCAAACACATAATAAAAATTAATTTGGTAAAATAAATAAATAAATAAATAAATAAATATCTAAAAGATTTATCAATTTTACATAATTTTGGTGTTTAGAAATAATTTTTAAAAATTTAAAAATATTTTTTTGACATTTATTTTTATCAAATTAGTTTATATTTTATCAAATTGATAATTTTGCCATTGAAATTAAGCAATGGTACCTTCAATTGTCCTTATTTAGAACAAGATTCAAATTTCAGGATCATATGTGTCACAATTGAAAAATCGATGACTAAAATGACACAAGTCTCAAACTATAGGGACCATTAATGTAATTTATCCTATACGTAAATTGTGATTTTTCAAATTTTTATAAATTAACTTACGTATATTTGTAAAAATTTATGTAATTTTTGACATAATTTATATATATTTGTAAAAATTTATACAAATACATATGCTATACACTTTACACACTTAAACACTTCCCATCATATGAATGAAAATATTTGAGATTTAAAAGAAAATTCTCTTAATCCGACTCACTATCACATCACATATCTCAAAATCCTCTTGGCACATGATTTGTAAGTAAATTTAAAATTTGTTTCTTTATTTTCTTAATCAACAATGATTCATCCAACTAAAAACATCACTACTAATAGCACTAATGCATTAAAAAAGTAAAAAAAAAAAAAAAAAATACAACTCCAAGACCAAAACATCACATCATTAATGGCGGGACCCACTGCCACCTAATTAGTGGAAGCACTAATTAGTGCTCCCAAACATTTTTCTTTCTCAATTTATTTTAGGACAAATTTGATTACCTTTTTTATAATTTGACTCATTAAAATTTTTTATATAAAAATTTAAATATATTCAAAACTCATTAAATTTTGAAATCAATATTAAATAATTTATTATTCATCTCAATTTTATGATTAAAATTCATTTGAGATCAATTTAAAATATAAATAAATCATTTAAATGCATAAATCATTTAAATGCATTTATAAAAATCATATATATATATATATTTTTTTGTAAATCAAGTTTATATAACTGAATTTCAGCTCGTTTACGTTGTGCACATAATTTATGAACTAATATACAATACCACAATTTTTATTCAAATTAATACAAAGTGTATCTCACGTGCTTAAATATTAGAAGTAAATAATTTTTACTAAAAAAAGAGAGGGTAAATTACAAACACATTCCCTAAAATTTACTTAAATTACAAATTAACTCCTGTGATTCTAAAAATTACATAATGCCCCTAGGGCTTCTAATTTTATAACAAATAGGTTCTTTTATTAATAAATTATCAAGTTAATTAATAATTTTTAATAATGTTAAAATTTTATTTCAATTAATAATTCAGATAATTTTATTGCTGCATAGGTGAACAGTTAAAAATTTCACCTTTTTAATTAATTCTGTTAAATAAAAAATTCTGACAATGAGGTATTTGTAATTTTTCAAACCACATGGGCCAATTCGTATTTTAAGCAAAGCTCAGGGGGCGCATTTGTAATTTATCAAAAATAAAATTATCAAGTTCTAAAAATTAAAAATAAAAAGGAAAAAAAAAAGAAAATGAAAACAAAACAGTCAGTGTGTTTGGTTTGAGTTTTCTAGATTAAGTTTTTTGAAAACTGAATTTTTTGATTTTCGTATTTTTTTTTTGTTTTTAGTGAATATTTTTAAAATTTTAAACATTTTTTTTAAATTTTTTAGATGCATCTTACTTAGATGAATCTAAAAAAGTAAAAAATTTGTGAAAAAATATTTTAAAAAATTAATAAATACATAAAATGTACTGAATTCTTATTTTTTTTGTATTTTTGTTATTTAGTGAATTTTTAAGAGATTTTTTTTACAATTTTTTTACTTTTTAGGTGTATTTATGTTAGGTGTGTCTCAAAAGTAAAAAAAAAAATTGCTTAAAAAATTAAAAAAAATCAATAAAAACAAAAAGGCACGGAAAATAAGAAAGTCGAATTTTCTGAAAAGTGTTTTTGGAAAAATGGAACCAAGCAAGCTAAGTAGCTTTTGGTATAGTTTTAAAATTATGATTTAAGAATAAAATTATATTTTGAGATTGTAAGTTTTGAAATTATGATTTGAATGTGAAAAATTTGTCTAGTTATGAGTTTTAAAAAGAGTTTTGAATTGAGTTTGAAATTTTTGATGTGACATATGATATCTAATTCAAAAACTTACAATTTATAACTAAATACATAACTTAAAATTCTATTCAAAACTCATAAAAAATTTTAAAAAAATTCAGAAAATATTTTTTATTTAAAATATAAAAATAACAAAAAATGACTAAATAGACGTATTTCAAAAAATAAGTATAAAATCAATTTTTAAAAATTCTAATCAAATACCACACTCAAAAACAAAAGATAAAACCGACGTTCAAAATATTCCCAAACACTTTCTCACCTCAATCCACTGTACCCATATCCACATCCCCCCATGTGCATCAAAGATAACGAAACCCACAGAGTAGAAACATAACAAATGGGCTACCACACAACTTCAGTATTATAAATACACAATAATTCATCTCATTAAAAACATCACCACTAATAATATTAATGTATTAAAAAGTTTTAAAAAAAAAAATACAACTCTAAGACTAAAATATCACATCGTTAATGATAGGACCCACCGCCACCTAATTAGTAGGAGCACTAATTAATGCTCCCAAACATTTTTCTTATAAATAAATAAACGCCGGGGAAAGGGAAAAATAGGAGTCAAAAGCTTCAGGTGGGAGTGGCTGGCCCCATTTGAAGAAGACCGCAAATAAAAATAAAAATAACTAAATTATAAATATACTTTAAGTTTTGTTTAAAGTAAAAATTATTTTTTATAATTTAAAAAATTATAAACATCATTTTGTTAGAATTTTTTATTTAACGAAATTAATTAAAAAATAAAATTCATGATCGATCTCCTATATAATAATAAAATTACTTAAATTATTAATTAAAACATATTTTTAACATCATTAAAATTGTTAATTAACTTAATGATTTATTAATAAAAGATG